AATGTTTAAAAATTAACATTAAAAATTATATACATATAATTTAACATTAAAAAACAATTCAATCAATAAATGGGCAATTGAACTAAACAGATACTGTTGAAAAGAAGTGCAAATGGCCAACAAACATAAGAAAAAATGTTCAACATCCCTAGCAATCAGGGAAATGCAAATCAAAATTACACTGAGATTTCATCTCACTCCAATTAGAATGATAATAATCAAAAACACAAATAATAATAAATACTGATGAGGATGTGGGGGAAAATATGCACTTATACATTGCTTGTGGGACTGAAAATTAGCACAACCACTATGGAAAGCAGTATGGAGATTCCTCAAAAGATGAGGAATGGGCCCAACCTATAACCCAGCTATCCCACTCTTTTGGTATTTATTCAAAAAGAACTAAAATCAGCATTCTATACCAATACATGCACACCAATATTTGTAGCCACATAATTCACCGTATGCAACTTACGAAACCAGCTTCACTGTCCTTCAATAAACAACCAAATAAAGAAAATTATATATATATATATATATATGTGTGTGTGTGTGTGTGTGTGTGTGTACACACACACACACACACACACACACACACAAAATGGAGTTTTACTCAGCCATGAAAAAAGAATGAAATTATGACATTTGCTGGCAAATGCATGGAAGTGGAGAACATCGTGCTAAGTGAAATAAGCTAGACTCAGAAAGCAGAAAATCAAATGTTTTCTCTTATATATGKAAGATAGAGAGAAATAAGAAATTTTAAAAAGGAGAGGGTCTCATGAAAATAGGAGGAACAGTGGGKTAGAAGAAGGTGAATGAAGGGAAGAAAGTGGGGATGGGAAAGGAGAGAAACAGCAGAATGAAGTTAACCAAACCRTATCACAATGAATTCCACACCTGAGTGTAACTATTAATTCACCAATTTTAAAAATTCTATTAAAAAAAACATTGCTTGGGGGGATTGGTTCCTAGACAGCCTCAGGATAGAAGCTGATTGTCAGAAGAACCAACCATGTAATTAATGGGTTCCAAGTTTCACCCTACCTTGTACCCTCTCCTTTACTTTCCCCCTAATCACTAAGGTGAGGAGAAAAGCTGAAGATTTTATTAATTGCTAATGGCCTATGATTAATCTTGATTGCCTAACAAAACCTCCATGAAAACCCCAAAGAGTAGGGGCTCAAAGAGCTTGCAGGTTGTGCACTCCTGGAGGTGCTGGAGGGTGGTGCACCCAGAGAAGGCATGGAGGTTCTGCACCCCTGACTTGCCTCCTCCATACTTTGTCCTATGTATCTCTTCCCTCTTATGGTTCCTCAGTTATGTCCTTTWGAATAAGCAGTAGTCTTGTCTGAAAACTGTTTCCCTGAGTTCTGGGAGCTGTTCTAGCAAATTGTAGAACTTGAGGAAGGGGTCACAGGAATCCTAATTTGTAGCCTATCATCAGAAGTCAAAAGGGAGGCCCACACTTGGAGTTGTCATCTAAAGTAAGGACAGACTGTGTGAGACTGAGAACTTGACCTGTGACATCTGACGCTATTTCCAGGTAGACAGTAATGGAACTGAATTGAATTATAGGTCACCAACTGGTCTCCAAAGAGAATCGGAAAATTGCTTCGTATGGAAAAAACCCACACATTTGGGCACAGAAATCAGAAAAGCTGAGTATAGAGAAAACTTCAGTTTTTTGAATTGTTGTTGTTCTGGGTGTTTGTTGTTGTTGTTGTTTTCTCTGCACTTATAACAGGTCCACTTCATGCTTTGAAGATAAACCTTGCTACTCCACCACTGGAAGTGGATTTTTTTGKTTTTTTCCCCCTTCTTCTTTTCCGTTTTCCATTCCCAAACCATGGCAGAAGCAAGATTAACCTTCTTTTCATCCGAGACCAAGTTATCTGTTCTTTGGCTCAGAGACCTCAGAAATAAAAGAATTCAGACTTCAGGACTGGCACCAGTGGATCTAAACAGCTCTCTCTCAAAGCTACTGCTTGGATAGGAATTATGACTCCTGTGAGGTCTCACCTGGAAGTTAGCCTTTGTAACCTCTCTTTAAAAGCTCACAATTCCCCTTGACAATGAGAATCACAGCCTCTTAGACAGGAGGCCCATAGCAAAGCAATAAAATTTCTTTTTCCTATTGCTCAAAACCTTGTCCTCASTATTGGAGCAGCTTCAGGGAAAAGGACRGAGATTTCAGGATCACACTGAGCATGATCAGCATGAGACGTTTTCTTCAGTATGAGGGATAGACTTAGTGCTAAATCAAATGAATAGGCCACATAGGAAGTCCATCAGGACTCTCATGAGGAGAGTCATGATTAGTCTGCWTGTGCATTTATCTAAACCAGAACAATCCCAAGAGGAAAATGAGTCATAAGAGAAAGTTCTGCAAGGACCCAGAGAGGGTGGGGTCTTGTCATAATGGAAGGGAAAAAGCCTGACTATAGTAATCATAAGAGTGAATTGTCCTTGGAGAACCTTCCATTTTAATCTGCCCTTTATGAAGTAGGATGGACTTTTATGATATCATCTTACCTCACTAACTGAAGAAAATACCCCACATTCTTGTCTCTAGCCTTACCCAGAAGACTGTTCTGGAAACTTCCTTGCATGTTCACACATCGAGTCACTTCACAAGCCTTCCTGAGAAGCCCTAGGAAGGCCTTCCCATAGGATATCTGTTCCAGGGACGGTTGGACTTTTTCAAGCATATGAAACATCCTGCAGTCAAAAAGAAGCCAGAGATGATAATGATGCTCCAGATGGCAGATCATTATAAATCCATCTAAACAGAGACATAGGCAAATGTCTGACAGTCCTCATATGAAAGAAATTAGATTCTTCAAAATGGTTCACTTAATATTTATTTGTTTGTTTATGGAGTTCCTCCACCCTGATTTACAAAGTGAGGGAAAACCATTTATGGGACCACATAAAATACAAGAAAGAGTAAATCAAGAGAAAAGAAAGAGGGAAAATAAAGAACATAAAATAAAATGAACTTTGAGGCCAAGAATACATTCCCTACTTGAAGTATTTGAGTGTGAATTTCCTAGCAGCTGAGGAAAGTAGAAATTGATCACACATATAATTTTCAGAGTCATAAAATAAAAACAAGGAAAATTTTCTGGAGAAGCAGGACTCCCAAGGCAAGACTCCCATTAGTAGTTAATGTGATAATTCTGAGTATAGCTCTAACAAGAATCTCAAACATATGCATTCCTTAGACTCAATTAGTTCCTGCATTTCTTATGAAAGATTCAACCAATAGTTAAATATAAGGGAACTGTTTAATATGTTATAGTTTTTAGATGCTTTCTGGTATACCAAAAGTTAGATTCAAAATAARCATCTTTCTATTCATTCATTAGCAAAAGAATCTAAATATTGATCTATCATTTGAATGAGAAGCATTTGACCTCATTTTGATGTCCAAGTATTGGGAAGTTTTCCATCCAATGCATACTCACAGGGTGGAGACAAGCTGGTGCTCACAGCCACCAGAGGAGACATRGGTCCCAGGTGAGGCAACAGCACCCTTCAGCTGGAAGAGCCGAGAACAGGAAAGGCTCGCTTCTGACAGCTGTGTCTCCAGTTCCTGCCAGCCCAAATACTCTTCYGGTACCGAAACTGGCATGTCTGTGTGCCCAGTAATGACCTCTTGCAAAATATGGTCCTTAATAAGAGAATAAAACATCACTTATAATAAATAAAATCATTCAAATGTGGGTATTTGAAATGTAACCTACCTAGTCTTGTGTATCCAGGGTTCCACTTGAATTGGGCATCAAAGACCATGAACTATAGGATCATGACTACTAAGTCATAGTGCTAGACTTGAATCTTTACTCATGTCCAAAATCATAGACCCCAAAATAAAACTTTATACAGCAATAGAGTCAGGTAACTTATAACCCACTTTATTAGGAACCCAATAAGCAGGGACCTAAGTATCATAGTCAGCTGTATTAGCTTGTATCCCCACAGGTCCCCAATAAACCAAGCCTTCTGAAAATTGAACTCTTAATAATCCCCTCCCACAATTCATCTAGGCCTGGCTCTGACTCATATTAATCCACAAAGTGAAGCACAGGTGACTTATGCTAATTCCAGTCCTACCTTTTCTAAGCTGTCCTCACATGCTTTAAAAGCCTTCCTTCTAGCCTATTTTTTGGATGCCTGGATACCATGTGAGAAGTCTATCTATCCTCCTGAGAAACTACGTGAGGAGGCTCCCCAGAGAAGAGAAGCCTGTGACTTTGGTGGAAAATGAGAGATTCCAGTCCTCCAYATCCCAGCTGAGCATCCAGAATCCACACCCCCCATGGCCCTCTGACTATAACTACAGGAGAAGCACCCAGTAAGATCATCAGAAGAACCCCCTAGATAAGCCTAATCAACCCACAGAGTCACAAGAGATAACAGATATATTTTTTTGTTTTCAACCACTAAGTTATGGAATGGTTTGCTACTTACTGACACATCTGAGCACCCTTAGAAAGGCTATCTCACATATATGTGACCTAGAAAAACACTCATCACTGCAGCAGATCCCGCTGGATCCCAGCTCCATGTGAGACTATGAGTYAGGCTATATAGACACAGGGAAATTTGAAATGGGCTTTCTGCCAGAAAAGAATTTATACCTGCTAGCAGGGGAAAAAATGTGCAAGTAGGTAGAGTCTTTTTATGTGCTTGCATGACTTCAAACACACTTTTCCATCTGCCTAGCATTCTCTCTGACTTCTCATTGCTTCCAAATCTTATGTCTCATTTTAGTAAGTCTCATCAACATCTTAGCAGGGATTTCTAGATGCTGAGCCCCTGTGCACTCATGCCATCTGCCCCGCTCAGCCAAGAGAGTGTGTTCATGTTTGTATTATCTTCCACATGCCACCTTGCCAAGCAGACACTGAGAAAGCACTGATGGCTGAACTATGTACACATGACCATTCCATGTTCATTTTCCTGTGACATTATTTCACTGGTTTTATCTCATGGCATGTAAGGAAGAAGTTAAAAAAGAAATAGGTAATTCTGGAAGGAAAAAAATGAAGAAAAAACATATTGCTATAATGTTTAGTACTCAGGAAGAAAAATAGAGGCTAGACTTGACAACATAATGTTTCCCCCAAAATTGCCGAATAGTCCCACGTTGAGTGCTCTGCAAAGGTGAGCTCACATAAGTGTTCTAGGCTGTGACATGACAAACACATGATTTTTCAAAGTCTGTGACCCTGAAAGCCAAAGCTCTGCTATAAGTTGACTGATCACCAGAGTTATCCCTCCACTTTTCTCCCCATATGCAGCTAGAAATGGAACAGGATAAATGGCCAGGAAACCAGAGAAGCAGAAGTGCCTGGTTTGAAAGTTTGAGATTGTCTTGGGGAAGGTCAAGTTGGTTTTGGTGGACTCGAGGGCACACACACTCCCAAGCTGTCAGACAGAAGGGATGGAATTGAGGAACACAATTCAGGTAGCCAGGTTCCTTTAGGTGTATGAACAATTAATTCAATATTGGCATCTTCAGTTAAATTAACTGAAATTAATTTCAATTAATTTAAGAAATTAACAGAAATTAATTTCAATTAATTTAAGAAATTAACCTTAGATATGAGCCCAGTTGGTGCCCATGAAAGAGATCAGATAGTGGAGTACTTACAACATCCTTTACTGTACCAATTAGCCTGTTGAAAACACTGGTCTCGTTGAAGGAGGTATGATTGCACAACAGTCCCCAGGAGTCCCTCCAGATCCCAGGGGGCAGAGGGACCTCCTTCTCAGACAAGCGTTCATTTAGGCAGGGAGCAGTAGCATTCTTCGTCAACATCTAAAAGATTAATGAGGATGGAAAAGGGTAACATTTAGAGCTTATAGTCATGCTCACCATGAGCTCAAGAACTACAAATAGAAACAAACAAACAAAATGTTAAAATGCAACCTAAAGTTCTTCAAAATGCGTCTATTCTCTTTATTTTGCTAGCACAATCCACAATAGGCAAAGCTTAATATTGCATGAGCTTCTTCAATGTTTTATGAAAATGGTTTATGTATAATCCTTGGCTGTGATTTACCTGCTTTAACCCTTCAAAGAACACATCCTTTTCTAGTTTCCATCGATCAGGTCTGCCCTGCATAGAATTGTTCGCTGAAGTCTCCAGGTGAAWGAGGATTGCTGCAAGATCAACAATTCGATTTATTCCTCACGCAAGTTAGGTTTCTTCAAGCTTGATTTCTATGTACAGTGTGAAGCAATAAATTGAATTCTAAAAACACACATTTCAGTAAACTTGACCTGAGGTATTTCATTATCTTCCTTAGAAAGGAAAATGGGGAAAGACATTATAATCCTGTCTTATCCTTTTTTAAGACACATAAATATGGGTTCCTTGTTAGAGGAGAGTTTTGCTCCTTTAAAGCAACATCCCCTCCTCATTTCTTCTCCCTCCTCCATCAGATGACGAAAAGACAGTCCACTCAGGCAAAAATGAAAACTTGACTTCCTCAGAAGAGTGCAGAAAGAAAAGCATCCACCATAGTCAACAGAAGTTCCAAGGACATGCTGTATACCCAGGAGAAATAAGATCTCTATCAGATACTGAGAAGCAGWGGGTAGGGATATAAAACATAATGATTCACTTACTCACAATGCACCCTGGTCCCTCTCTAGCCTGAGAACTGTTTGTGCTGATGTGAATGTAAAAGTCCGACTTCAGTCCTAGGAAACTGCCTATCCAGCTCACACTGTAGGCATATATTGGACAGTAGGATACACCTGTCACTGTGACAGTTTTGTGTATTCAGTCATGGCATGCTGTATGTGAAATACCCCAGAAGGCTTCGTAACAAAGCATAAATATACATACAATAGCAGCATAACTTAGCTCCAAACTTTACAACATTGTCAGGCAGTTGCAAGTTCGTTTTCCAATAAATGTCATGTTTGCTCTTAGTGAGTTTCGGTGACAAATAACACTAGAGTTGTTTTACCTTGGATGAAATGCAAATCCTGGGCTATTGCATTCCTGAGAGCACCACCCAGCTGCAGCAATCTCTTTAGGTCTGGCCACTGGGGCAGGYTTTGCAGCACACTCTGCAATTTTTGCAGACTCTGTGATCTAAGAGCAAAAAGAAATGAGTGAAATGAAATGAAAGTCTTTTAAGGCACCAGCTAGGGAAATGAAACTCCCATGCAAATGAAAACATCTCACTACTTTGAAAACTGTGTTCATGGACTGAAAGTCTCATTTCACCATCTAACCAGGTTCATGACAAATTGCATTATTTGAATCAGCTGATTTGTAGATTCTTTTAGGTACTGATTATGAACTAGACATTCTCTTTTATCCCAGAACAGGAAAGCATACTCCTAACAGTATGGAAAAGAAGCGAGGATTGGCATAAAGTTCCAGGTGGAATTCATCACCTTTGGTTATGAGATGTAGGAACAATTTGAGAAAAGTTTCAAAATATTGAAAAGCTGTATGGTGATGATATACAGGATCCATCAAAGTGGTCCCAACTAAGGCAAATTAACAACACCTGTAAGAGTCTCTGAAGTCAAAGGGGGATWGTCAGGCTGCCTGACACCTGCAGTACCTGGAGTTTTAGATGGCAGACATGTTGAAGATGGAGATGGAGTAATGAACCTGAGGCCAGCTGCAAAGACTATACTTTTGAGATKTTCACCTTCAAAGCCAAGCAGAAAAGTCACCAGGGGAAATATTTCAAGTACTACTCCATTAGAGATGCATCTGCCTTCCTACCAGAGCATCTCACTAGGGATGGCAGAAGAGACAAAGGATTCTCCATCTCTAGACTCCAGTCTTTTAAACAAGGTAATATATTCCTCAAACAAATGCAGGAATTAACTCAGCAGAGAAGCTGGAAAGAAAGTGAGTCTGAGAATGAGAGGAAATAGAAATGGAAGTGAATGTGGAAGACTGAAGAGCCAAGTGGGGGGTCATGCTGTGGGGATGCCACTGCCCAGAGCAGGAAAGTCCAGGCTGAGTCTTCTTGCAAGCACAGGGCATCCTCAGCCATGACAAAGATGGCAAGCTCAAAGGAGAGAAGMGTAGAAAGATGTGGTTTCTAAAAACGCCAAGCAAAATGCTCCAATGGAAGAGTTCTGGCCATGCCACAGCTTTCAGCTTCTAGCCTGCATTTGGACTTTTCAACGCTTGGTCTTCACAGAATCTCAGTAGGCCTGGGTTAAAGGCAAGTTTGATAACTAGTTGCTGATGTCCTATAGTTTGTAAGCTGATGGATCTGAGCACTGCAGAGGGTACAGAGAGATCGAGGAGGGTTCTGATGACAATTCTCCTACAAGAGATCAGCAGGAGGAAAACCATCCCCACATCCATCACCATGGACATATGGGAAAGGAAGCACCCATCCTTAGACTGAAGTCAGAGACAGCTTCTTGGACTGAGCCTCCACAGGATGAGGTAGGGCTAGAGTACTCACTCTCTGACACTTTGGATTACRCTGAGGAGGAAGCCTGGGGCTTATGGAAAGAACTGGAGTTTAGGGACAAGAGGCAACTRTACTTTATTTTACTCTCTCCAGRGGGGGAAAAAAAAAAAGATGAACTGTGTGACCTGAAACTTAGATCTGGGCTGTCGAATTTGTTCGTGCTCTGGCCAGCAAGGACATCACATGGCCACCTCTGTGAGCAGACACTTCATAGCCACGTGTATGTTGCAGAGTCAGGCCTTACTGGAGCCTCTCTCTGAGTCCTCGGCTTACCAGGAACACAGATGAAGAGCTCTCACTGCCCAGTCACCTGACMGATGTGACTGGACAGGAGCAGACAAAACCTCAGACAAAACCTCAGAAGGTAAGAGGGTCTGTAATGACACCAGGTGCTCAGAAGGAAACGGAGAGCCTGATGATGTTCTCATTTCTTTTGGTTGAAATTTGTGATTGAGGAAGAGAAATGAACAATTGGGTTTGGAGACAGGATGGAAAGAAGGAGAGAGATTTCCTGGACCAAGACTTGTGATAGTTTCCTGCCACACAATGAATGGGAATTRTACAAACATTTGCAGAAGCCTGGAGGCAAGTGGCTGATTGATTTCCTCAGAATGTTCAAACTGGAGACACAAGGACAAAACCTTGAAAGAGAGGCAACAGAGACATCAACAGGTGCAACAAAATCAACCACCAAAAAATACTAAGGTGGGAAAGGAAGCAGCAACAATGCTCAGGAGACTAAACAAGGAGGACAGTGTACAGGGTTAAAGTGTGCAGCTGAGAGGGAAAGTGATAGGAACATCAACCACACACACTCCTACTGGAATAGGACCATGACTCCATACAAAAACAAAAGAAAAAAATCAACTCCAAAAATAGTAAAGTTAATAAAAGAGATTACAAAGTCTTGGTAGTTCCTTTGAGGAGACATTTGACATCCAGGGATCAAAACCAGTGAATCTGAAAAAAAAAAAAAAAAAAAAAAAAAGGAGAATGCAAAGAAGGAGGAGAGAGTTTAGGAGATCACCTCTGTCAGTGGCAGAGGTGAGAAGGGCCAAGGTTTAAGAGTATCTGCTCAAGGGTGGGGTGGGGGAGACATCCTCCACACAGGCATCTCTGTCAAGCCTCATATCAGCCTAGAGATGTGTGCAGATTATTCCTTCTTGATAGGAGAAGACACAGGGCTCCTGGGCAGTCCTGTACAAAGTCTCCAAAAGACCAGAGGGTTGATACCTAGAAAGAGACTGAGAGATCATCTAGTGATGCCATTACCAGATGGGGAGGCCAAAGCCCAAGGAGGACATCAGAAGGGCCATAGATGCACAGGCAGTGGACTTTCTTGTCACCTAGACGGACCATGTGGCTGCAGTTTTTTATTACCCAAGGCAAAAGTGGCATCTAAATAGAGACATAGAGGCCATTTGCTTACAATAGAGACAGAGAGGCCAATTGYTTACATAAGTCATTCAGAGGACAATTGCTTATTCAGTGCTATTAGATATGGAAAATGTCAAACCCCAGAATAGTGAGGCCTGGGAAAAGGGAGTGAAAGAGAAAACCATACATTGACAGCATTGATCCTTTCCCAGTACATCCTTTCCCAGTGACAAGACCAGCCCTGGGAAGGAAATTATCCATCCAAGCCTAGAACTGACAGTCTCTAGGAAGAACCAATGTATTAAACCTTCCCCAAATGAATCCTTTCTCAGTGACAGTACAATGAGACCCCAGAGGTGAATATTGGCCACTGTCCCTAGACCTTTCATCTGACCCACTGACTGCTAACCCAGACCCTCCATTAGACACATTCTGGCAATAATTAAATCACCTCTCAGGATGACCTAGGTAAGCCCAGTTCCTTTCTTTCTTTGGGGCTCGTTTTCCACCAGGAAAGTGGGTCCCATGGTGTCATTTTGTCCCTGTATCCCCTGTTCCCGTGTGAAACTTCATTCTTGAATAAAAGATATGAGCTGATTCGTGAAGTTTGTGTTCATCCTGGTCTATTTTGTGCTAACAAGTGTACATAGCAGGTGGATGGCAAAGCCTGTGCTAGGGTCCTCATCTTCCTGACCCTGAGTGTGTATAGAAATTATGCGTGGGGGCCAGGCGAGCTCAGTTGTCCTCAACTGGTACTTGGGGTAATCTTAAGCTTCCTTAATCTTTGTATGAGTGAAGAGCCAAGTACAGGTTCCAGGGGCTTCATTCCCTAAGTCAGAGAGCAGGCAGCAACCCAGGCTAATGTGCCAGGGCCAGTTGAGGTTTATAGGGTAATTAAGGTGACTAAATATGCTGTGTCTATGAATGAGTAGTGCTAACATATTGTTAAGCTTCCCAAACCACCCAGCAGAGAATTTTTCAATAAGCCAATGCAAAGTCTTACATCGCAATATTCTGCATCTGAAGTTAATTGATGACAGCATGTTGTGTAACTGTCCTTTGTTCAGCTCATTGTTTCAAGGTGTACCTGCTCTTACTGATATTCACCTTTCTGTTGCTCTCTCTCTCTATATATATATAGATAGATAGATAGATAGATAGATAGATAGAGATGTATATTATTTTTTAGTTGTAGTTGGACTCGATACCTTTATTTTTTTTTATTTATTTTTATGTGGTGCTGAGGATCGAACCCAGGGCCTTGCACATGCTAGGCAAGCGCTCTACCACGGAGCCACTTTCTGTTGCTTTTATATAGCCTTGATAGAAATTTCATTGCTGCCTGCAGCTTCAATACCTCTGCCCCTGGGCAACTGTTAGTAAAAGATAGGAAACAAGACCTTCATAGCAAGATCCTATTTCCTAACTCCTTCCAGAAAATGTGAGAGACTAGGAAATGTTGGGAGTTGCTATTCGCGGTATAATTAGAAAAAACAATATATCCCCATACAATTCTGACATCATAATTCCATGTTCATGGAATTAAAGAGCCAGAGCTCATGTGGCCCATGATGTGAAATAAACCTTTTTGAGATTATATTGAGAAATCTAATTGTTTTCTTCCAACAAAGATTTTAACTGTAGGCATATAATAAAATTCATTTTACTTCAGATTATGACACTTACTGAGAAAAGAGACCCAATCTTACAGAACTGACCATTTTGATGAATTAATTTGATTTCCCTAAAAATTAAAAACAACAATACCAGTTCCACTTTTCCCACTTCTAAAATATTTCTAGACTTAATGTAAACATTTCAAATATTTGCAACTTTATAATATGAAAACAGGCAGTTTCTTGTATAACAGTACTTCTGACATGTATTTTAGAGGTACTGTTCATTTTAAAATACCAAAGACATAAAACTTAAAATCCAGGAATCTGGAATCTTCTCAAATGTCATTCCCCCTTTAGATTGCCTTCCACATCTGAACTGGTGTTCAGAATTTTTCAAAATGTTCTGTCCTAATTGTAGTCCAATATGAAAGTCTGGGATTTCCCTTTTGTTAACTTATCACCATCTATTCTAGCTGGCAACCTATGCTGGGTTTCCAAATCTGACTATCCCAGTAACTTAAGAAAACAGTGAAGAAAGAATGCAAATATACGGAAGTAGCTTCTCAAAATCCAGGAGACCTCTCTGACCTTAGGGGTCCATGGAAAAAGGGAGAGAGCCTCTGGAATTCTTTATTCTTATATAGCGGACACACAAGGGGAGGTTCCATGAAACATTCTATCCCTAAAAGGGCAAAGGGGCAGAATTATAAAAGGATCAGGTGAATGTAACTCATCCCCACTGGGTGACACCTACTCCTGGAGCCACAACTCATTATTCTAGTAGAGGTAAAGCCCAAGTTATGGTGGGGCACAATAATTGCTTGGTATCTCTTGCTCAGGACTTAAGGGCATGTATTTCCAGAGCAGCTCCTGACATTAACTAGGAATTCATAGTCTAGCTGCAGTTTCAAAAAATTTGTTTCTGACAGTAACCTCAGGCATTCTTGAAAATTCAGCATTGTCTATCCTTGTTAGTAACAAAAGAGAGATATGTGCCTTACATCTGTGAAGAGTGAAGACTGTCTTCAGGCCCCTTGGATGCCAAGCTGTCACTCAGGATGAGCAGTCCAGTGTGCAAGGCTTCCACCACTTTCCATGGCTCATCCCCTTCTTSGAGCTGGTTCCTGAGGGCCCCCAGACTATGGCCAGCACCTGTGAGTATCTTCTGAAGCAGGCCACCCTGTTGCCACTGGTGAAACACCTACAAACTCAGAAATAAAAATATGATTATTAATGATAGCATTACAAATATCATATTTAGTAAAAAAAATTAACAGACCAATTTAAATGACAGATAACATTTTATTTTGTTGAAAAATTAAAGTGTCTATTAATAACTGCATTTTGACCTCATATTCACTCATAAATTAAAGTTGACAAATTGTAATAATTGATACTGCTAGCACCTTAGTTCTTTCTCTCCCCCACAAAAGAGAAACAAAAGAGAGAAAGAAGGGCAATAGCATACATTGTTTTAAATTAAATATTATTTGAATATGAAACTAAGCTGTTTAGGATAATTTAAATATGTTTTAGGTATTTTAAAATATATGTCATCATTGATTCATTAAATACCACTATATGACATGGGGCTGGTAGTTATGATACTAAAGAAAAAACCAAAGTCAGCCTCAGCAACTTAGGAAGGTCTTAAGTAACTCAGTGAAACCTTGTTTCTATATAAAAAATATAAAAAGAGCTGAGGATGTGGGTCAGTGATTAAGTAGCCCTAGGTTCAATCCCCAGTACCCGCCCCCCGCCCCCCAAAAAAACCATCAGTATTATAGTTTATCATCCATCAAAATAAGGCAAAATGGACCTTCCATACTCAAATGAGCATGGGACCTGCATGATGCAAAGGTATGTGAGCCAATCGATCCTGAATTAACCATGTATTCAAGTAACTCAGATAATGCACAAAGCAAAAGTGCACATTGATGTTGGTCATCTCAATGCCATCCCTTGATAACTTTAGTGCTTGATAAAGTTACTGCCAGCAAGTGAATCACTCTTATATTTTTGAAGGATGCTGTAAGAATATTTGAATATTCAACCTATATCAGCTKAACGTATTAGGGGAGATGAAAGTTTTAAAGGGCTGTGTTCTTGAAGGAAAAAAATCACAAGATGGGAAAGTAACATCTAAGATTGGGAGGTGATGGGTGTGCTGGGGAGGGATTCTCCTTTAGCCTCCAAAAATGCCCAAGAAACACAAAGCTATGAGCTGGCCAGAGCCTCTTCAGGCTTCCAAGGCCATCAGACAGGTATAATGACTGGAAGTGTGCTACTTCATATCAGCATTTCTGAAAACAGATCAAAGCCTCCATTCTCTTTGTTTGGCTTTAAATCCAACTTTTCTTTTCTTTTCTTTTTTTGGTACCAGGGATTGAACATRGGGGCACTTGACCACTGAATCACATCCCCAGTCCTATGACTATTTTGTATTTTATTTAGAGAGAAGGTCTCACTGAGTTGCTTAGCAGTTCACCATTGCTGAGGCTGGCTTTGAACTTAGGATCCTCCTGCCTCAGCCTTCCAAGCCATTGGGATTACAGGTGTGTGCCACTGCACCTGACCCCAGTCACCATTTTTATACAATACTTCTGAGCAAAACCAGACAGAAGGCACAAAGCAAGTGGAATGTGTGTGCACAAATATCCAAGGACCTGCTCAAAGCAGCCTGTGGTCGGAAATCTCACATCCCAACAGAAGTATGGATGTAGGGACCTCTTAGTTGCCAGGTGTGTGTTTAAAACACAGATGAACTTTGGGAAACTTGTGTTGAAGGCCTTTTGACCTGAGGCTGGTGGACACCCATGGAAGAAGGTATACACCGTGGCCAGGATGTGGGAGTCCTCAGGCCTTCACCGTGGCCAGGATGTGGGAGTCCTCAGGCCTTTCCCCAGAATCATGAAATCAAAAGGTGAAGAACATGGTGTTGAAAGAAATGAGTTTAGATACTGCAAACCAGTAGCTCCAAGTCACAGTGTCCAGATGCAGGACTGTACCTGCCCATACAGTCGCAGCCAGCTGAYCGAGTGGATGAGATAGTTCTTGGCGTCTGACCACTCGGGAGGACAGTCTCCACCACGGCCATCTCTCTCCGCTTCGTYCTTGGATATGCTGGACAAGACTGAACACACCATCCTCTCTAAGGAGCTGTCTGTGGGAATCTGGCAACAATATGAAAGAAATGMTTAAAAGCAAAACCTTTGTTTTTTCCTAGAACATTTCTTTTCTAAAAATAATACCGCAATCTTTTCAAAGTGAAGCTCTTACATTTGCCTGATTAAAGAAGTAACCAGGTGACAAAGTGTTGCTTGAAGTGTCTGTGTGATTTATCCTGAGGGTACACTTTTGTAGTGAAGGAAGAAAACTGATCCTRTTTTTCAGAACTGGCCATAAGCAACAGAAACAGGTGTTTATTCCAGCAGAAGACATGAGGATGACACAAACATGGTTCATCTTCACTCTCCCACCAAAGCAAACAGAGGCCAGCCTAGTTTAATTGATACTTTGCACTAACAAAGTTGCTTTTCTGAGAAAAATTTTCTTTTCTAATTATCAAAACCTGCTTAATTGGGAAGATTCAAATTGAGGTCCTGGTTTAGAGACTGTTTAACATTTTTACATCAAATATTTATTTTATACACAAACTTCTCTAAAACTGCTCTCTAAATACTTAAGTCTGCCATAGAATGAGTTACATTCCCCTATAGTGGTGCTGTGTTTCAGGAATTTTATTTATTATTGCTAAATTATTATTATTTATCTAAACATTTGTGCCCCCCCCCCAAATTCATATACTGAAATCCTAACTAACTCTCAGGGTGATGAAATGAGGAGGTGGGACCTTCAGGAAGTGCTTACATCACAAGGGTGCAGCCTTTGCAATGGGATTAGTGCCCATACAAAAGACCAACAAGGGAGCTCCTGCATTCTTTGCACCATGTGAAGACACAGTGAGAAGATGCTGTCTAGGAGCTAGAAAGTGAACCTTCCCTGACATCAGGGGCACTGGAGACTTGACCTTGGACTTCCCGCCTCCAGAACTATGAGAAATAAATTCCTTTTGTATAAGCCACTAAGGCTATGGGAATTTGTTTTAACCATACAAACAGAATAACACAGTGGCAACAATCAGAAAGCATTAAAGTCCTATTTTTTCGTCTTATACTTCTCCTTTAAAACCCGTATTTTAAAAAGAAAATGTTCACTCATGATTATCAAAGCCACAAGATGTCTCATGTTTTCTGCTTTTTCTTCCCTTTGATTGAAAATAAGGCAAGTGTGGTGGCACATATCTGCAATCGCAGCTATGTGGGAGGCTGAGGCAGAAGGATGGCAAGATTGAGGCCAGTCGTGACAAGTTAGTGAGATTCTTTCTCAAAATAAAATTGAAAAATGGGCTGGGGATATAACTYAGTGGTAGAGCACTTGTCTAGCATGTGAAAGGCCCTGGGTTCAATCCCCAGTACCCACCAAAAAAAAAAAAAAAAAAGAAAGAAAAAGAAAACAAGTACTGTGGCACCACATACCATGTTAGAAAAATAAGACCCATCCCTGCCCAGATGATCTGGGTCTCTGAGAGCAGATGAGATGAACGATTTCTAGATGACATCTGAACGATTTCTAGATGAAAATGCTGTGTAAATTGTTGCTACATCGTATTATTTAGGGAATAACAACAAGGGGGAAGAAAAGCCTGCACRTGTTCAGTACAGACTCCATTTGTTTTTCTAACATTTTCAATATGATGTTTGAATGCAGGGTGCGGACCCATGGATACAGAGGGCTGTCCGTATTCTAGACACACTCCCAAGGAGAGACCCAGCAGTGTGACAAGCAGTCAAGTGCGCATACCTCCTCTAGCTCAGCTGAATAATTCAGGATTTGTTCCATTTGAAGATCATCAAAACCAAACTTGGATTTGAGATCAGACTGGACTTTCTGTGGATCCCACACCATATTCTGCAGGGACAGTTGATAAACTGACTCTACAAAACAATCAACAAGTTATACACTCAGTAATTTTAATATTTTGATGTGTCTAAAGTAATTCAGAAAATAATGTCATTTTATGAAGACAGAATACCATTTGGGGGTCAAACAGGAACAATGCACAAAAGCTAAAAGAGTCGTTCTCCTTATACAAAGGAGATAGGTTCCAAGATTCCCAGTGGATACCTAAAACCATACATAATAATGAATCCTGCATATACTGTTTTTTTCATACTCATACATAATAAAGTTTAATTTATGAATCTGACGTAATCAGTCATTCTGCTAACTAAGACCGCTAAACTAAACAACTGATGGTCAGGCAATATATACAGTGTGRATACACTGGACAAAGTAACAATTCACATCCAGAAAAAAAATCTCATGGTATGAGATTTCATCTCATTACTGAGAATGTTATATAATTTAAAACTTACAAATTATTTATTTCTAGAACTTTCTATTTAACATTTTTTGGACTGAAGTTGATCATGGATAACTGAAAGTACTGAAAATGAAATCATAGATATGGGAAAACTATTGTACTTGATGCTATAGTGAGTGCGGTGAGATTTCACACACTCTGACATAAATGGTTACAAAATTTCTGAAGTAATTTGAAAACATATTTCAAAAGCTTGATAAAATTCAATCTTTCAACCCAACAATTTCACTTCTAAAATTCTATCTCAAGAAATCTAATCAGATAACTGAACAAAAATTAATGTTCAACAGCATTATTGTGTTGGTTTTCTGGATAATTAAATATTAAAAATCAGTTAAGCATCTAGCATCAGGGAAAAGAATAATTTACAGTACAGTTCTAATATAAAACACAATGGAAATCTTAAAACTATATTTCTAAAAGTTATTTAAATTCATGGGATTAAGTTCCTTTAACTAAGGTAACCAAGGTATAAAACACAAAAGCTACTCAACCCAGCAACCCCTAAAATCTAAGTCCAAAACTCCCAAGGTTTGATGAGATCTCAAAGGAACTTATCCTAGCAATTACAAACACAAAATTGTTTGGTGAAGGACAGAGATGCATAATAAAGGAAAATAATGACCGCAGAGTAGAAGTCTGGTAACTTTTTCAGGTAAAGYTTCAAGGAGGAGATTTGAAGGATGAGTTAGAGTCCATCAATGAGACCAGGGAGCATTTCTAGACAAAGAGAGCAGTGCGTGATGTGCAGTTCCCTGCCAAGAGTGCTCAACATTAGGCAYTTCTGGGGTACAGTGGACAGCAACAGAAGGTGTTCCTGAAAGAGAGCTCAGGCCAGATTTTAAAAAKGTCCAAAAGAATGAGATCTTGAGTTATAGAAAGATACTCCAGGGGCAAGTGTATCTTTCAGGTGAACCYTGCACATGACCTACACACATCCTCCTGCGTTCTTTCAGATGAACCTTCAACTGAAAACCTAGTAACTAGGTTATTTCGGATCATGATCCCACATCCTTCCACTGAGCACTCCATGTGACAGCCATGGTAAAACCATGTTCACATGTATGATCAGACATGGTCATGACATTTAAAAAGGGGGTAGTGGAGTTAAAGTTAAAGGGGACTTCAGGGAGGTTTTGAAAACAGGGTGGATCCCAGGAATCCAAGACCCCTGGCTTTCRATCTGATTGTCTTCCCATGACATCATCCGGGTGGAAAAAAAGATTGGTTTCTGAGATTAAAACTAGCATCCATTGCATGTTGAAGAGATGCCAAGCCCTAGGCTAAGCATTTCCCATGCCAGGTCTGAGTTGCCAACCAACAGCACGAACATGGATACTTCCTCCAAGAGGGAAGGAAACAGACAGTCACTTCAGTCACACCTTTAAATTAAGCCAGAATTCACACCCAAGCTGGTTCCCGAGCTAAAATTGTAATTATTATCTCTACTGCTCTCAGAGTTTATTAGAATTGYTCATGGGGTTCCAAAAAGGAGAGAAAAGAATTGTGGCATCAGACTCTGATTAGCTATAAAAACAAACTTCCTAACAAAGTGAAAGACAATCTTGATACCAAATTGTGTGGCTAAACAGCAGGGTGCTCAAAATACGTGAATTAAAAAATTTCAATGAATGACATGTTTTGACCAGGAGCCCAAAGCTACTGTCATGACCCATCCTTATTCCTTCACACATCATAATCTGTTCATCAGACAGAAAGGATTTTGGGGGGGAGACAAGAAAAATGAAAACAATTTTTAGTGGCTTCTAGAAGTATGCCTTTGCAATAGTAATTTCTTAGCTTTGACTCACTGGCAAATGGATAGAAAATTGCTTATTTTAATTACATTCTTAGCAGTGATTACATTTCCAATTGTAGGATAAATTGATTGTTATAATTTGAAGGATGTACAAAAACCTGAGCCTCCAAATGAGTTTGTTAAAATTGAGGTCACTGAGATTTCAAGGAGGTGTTTTACACATTTCCCACCCCGGCTCTGGGTGCTGTTCTGAACATAAGAAATAGTACTTCCTGCTGCAACTAAATTAAACTTGAAATCCAGTTAATTGATAATATCATAGTTTCCCGTCTACAGAGCACTGAAAGACTCGCTGTGCTGGGTCACAAGAGCAGGTGAAATCTGAAGTGATGGAAGGGGTCGTGTTCCATTATTCCATGCAGCAGGAGGAATCTGGCTGGGTCTGTAGACATGTCTGTGTCATCATCACATCATGCAGCTCAGGAGACAGGGATTTTGAAAGAAAGAGGCCAGTAGAAAACTTGATCCTGGGCACCTGATCCCCACACCCTGCAACATGGCTTGCCTGCCTTTAATCAACCCTCACACCTGCCCCAGGCGTATCTTTCTATAACTCAGACCTCATTCTTTTGGACATTTTTTAAAGCTGGTCTGGGCTCTCTTTCAGGACCACTTTCTGTTGCTGTCCACTATAACCCCAGAAGTGCCTAATGTTGAGCACTCTTGGCAGGGAACTGCACATCACGCACTGCTTAGTCTCTTTGCCTAGAAATGCTCCCTGGTCTCATTGATGGACTCTAACTCATCCTTCAAATCTCCTCCTTGAAGCTTTACCTGAAAAAGTTACCAGACTTCTACTCTGYGGTCATTATTTTTCCTTTATTGATGGATCTCTGTCCTTCACCAAACATGACTTCCCCAGAGCAAGAACTATTTTCTTTTACAGCTTTTTATTCCCACTCTTTGAGGTAGTGTTTGGTCCATAGAAAGTCTTTGGTAAGTGTCTACGGAATAAGAGAATTAATAAATAAGTGAGGGCTGGGGATGTGGCTCAAGCGGTAGCACGCTCCACTGGCATGTGTGCGGCCCGGGTTCGATCCTCAGCACCACATACAAACAAAAGATGTTGTGTCCGCCGATAACTAAAAAATAGATATTAAAAAATTCTCTCTCTCTCTCTCTCTCTCTCTCTCTCTCTCTCTCTTAAAATAAATAAATAAATAAGTGAATGGATAGATAAATGACAGACAGATGGATGAACAGACAGTGGATGGATGGACAGATGTGTTGGTGGACTGGTGAGTAAATGGGTAGAGTGGTAGGTGAGTGCACTGATGCATAGGTGAGCAGATAGACAGATGGGTAAGTGATTGGATCGATGTGTGGGAAGAGGGAGAGACCAATAAACAAATGGATGAATGGATGACATCCAACTTCACTGTTCTCTCATTGCATGTATTCTCCCTAGAAAAATTTGCAAAGAGAATAGCAGTTAACAATTTGAAAAATAATATCCTAGGTCAAGAGAAAAGCTAGTCATGTATAATTTAGTGGTGACACCTGCTGGCATGTGCAAAGCCCTTGGTTTAATCCACAGAACTGAAAAACAAACAAAAGGCGGGAGAAGAAGGGAAGAAGGGAGGAAGGAGCTAGACAATTCCATTCCCTTCCCTGTGGAAGCTCTCCTTATTAGTGGACTCTTTAAGTCCACATCAACTGGTTTTTCTTACTAGGGTTACTGTTTTCCAAATGTTTATTCCCAATAGGAGTTTAGAAAGAGGAACAGTTGAAATCCCAGAACCAGTGATTGGTATAATCTTCCAAGATATTAGGTCAAAGAATTTTAAATTGAATTATTTTTAATTATAAATATTTTCATTATAAATGACTACAGAATTTCAGCAGAAGTTAAAAGTCAAATCAGTTGAGTTCCAAGTTTTCATTCTACTTCTATCTTTTATTAAAGCAAACGATTCTTTTCTTCATTTAATTGAAACATTTAATTAAATTAAAACTTATAATTAAAACATKTCTCCAAACAGCATTTTAACTCTATGTTGATTCTCAATCAGTAATGAGACATTTTAAAAGACAGCAATAGCCCTAAGGTGCCCATACCAGTGAATGATACTCCATTTTGCTGCAGAAATGTCAGCGTCSAGATGGTCACATTCAGTACAAGTTCAGAAACCTGGGAGAAAGTCTGGTTGAGTGGTAGCCAGTCTAAATCTTCCAGAGATGTTAAGGAACTAGAACCAGAACAAAGCCACAGCAGTCTGAGCCATTGGTGAGTCAAACAAGCAGAATCCATCCCAGATTTACTTACATTCCACCAACTGGGCCCTCACCCTGTTGCACCATGTGTCTGGACTATTTATATGTCAGCATTCCTCACAGCTTTAAYGTGATCCTAATTCCTCAGGCTAAAGACTTAGCCTGAGAGGTAAATTCATCTCCTGAATACTTAAGAATTTTGGCCTTTGATAGACCTTGGGTTTCAGGTGGCTCTCCCATGGGTGCTGTCTTACATTTAGCCTTGGGTCTTCCTGCCCGACTAGGACAGCTGACCAAGCCACACAGGGCACTAGTGCTATTATCTCAGAGGAGCAAATGAACCTTCATCTAGGCTGCTTCAGGTTCAGATCATCAGTCTAACACTTAGAAAGCAGCCGAATTGGAAGGACACATACCCCAACCCTCCACTCTGCTTTAGCCCATGGATCTGAGAGTGTCCAGTCAATCAGTGGTTTTCAAACTATTTTGCAGAATGAGGAACTTTGGGGAGAGAGGGAGTCCATGTGTATATGGGGTTCAATTGTTTTGAGATATCAATATTTTATAAATAATGAAATCTGTAGGTCAGAAAATACACTCAGCTGAAGTAGGAATGCATTTTACATTTCAACAGCTGAAGACCAACGCAACCATTCATTGTGTTTCCAAACAGGTAAACTTCCTGTAGTTTCTCATTAAGGAGACTCTCTCATGGCCTCCTTGTGTGTTGAAGAGAATCCCAAGGCTATAAAATACATCACTGAAAACCGGTACTGTTCTATGAATGCAGTATGAATACAGACATTCTTGATTTTTGTGCCACTGAAGTACAGAAATTAAATTTATGCTGAAGCTGATATGGTTCAACAACTGTCATTAATATCTTCTAATTTCAACCTTTTTCCTCTCTCAAAACAACCTGGTGGTTTTCATCATCCACTGATAATATATTCAAGGCTAGCAAGAATAAAAAGGCAGGGATACCAACTCTGTTAAAATATTTAAGCTAACAAACTGTCAAAATAAATGTGTTTCCTTTTCCTACAATGACAAATATGTCTTCATAAAAACCTAAAAAGCCATGTTCAAATTTACAGTTTTCTGATTCTGAGAGTTGTGCTCCAGAATGTGGGGTTTGGGGAACACCTATCTGGGGCCTCAGCTCATTCTGTACCTTAAGGGACCCCAGTGCAGGACTGTGGATATTACAGCCTGCAGAGCCCAGACCAGCCAMACCCCACCCCACCCCCAGCCCCCGACACTCCTGCCAATGGCTGCAGCTGCCCTGGTTCACCCCTGAGCCTAAGGATGTAACCACACTGATAAAACCTGCCCTCAGAAGGAGGCACCAGGGAAGAGGCCCGCCCAGGCTCTGGTCTCTGGAGTATAGAATTCCAGGATGAAAGGGTTTTTGGAGGAGTGAGCTTTTTGGACACAGTCCCCAAACCACAGGTCCCAAGACAGGGCTCCCCTTGTACTCTGATCTAAGGCAATGTGAGTTGTTCCCACCAACTGCAAAAGAAAGAGCTAAAAGTTAAAACTTGAAAAAAAAAAAAAAGAACATGAACTTTTCCTAATAAAACGCCATGTTCATACAATTTGGCAAAATAATTTAATTTTAAAAACCACGCTGATTAAAAACTGGGAAACCCACTCTAGGAAAAGGTTTTCCTAAAGGCACCACTGTGGGTAACGTGGGGGCAGGTCCATTGCAGAAGACTAATGCCCAACTCAGTGGATTCTAAAGAGAAGGAACCGAACTTATCAGGTCTTCAGGATATTATTGACAACTATAGTATAATTTATCAGTCAAAATTATGATGTTTATGTTGCTTGTCTCATAGTAAAAATGTGGAAAACAACCTAAAGTCTAATGCTAACATTATTATCTGTGGTATAGAATACCTCCACAAAGAGAATATTATGCAGTCATTAAAAATATTTTATTTTAGGACTACAGGACTCCATGGAAATGCTCCTAAGGTAATATGAAGCTTTCTAAATTGGGGGGCATGTGAACAACATCACTGCAGTAGTGCAAGCTATGTTTACAGACAGAAGGGGACAGAGGTAGARGTGTAGGAGCTCCAGGTGTTTCAGAGCACCATTACCATGAACATTTTTCTTTTTTAAACAGTTTCTCAATTATTGTATATTTATTGACCCATTAAAAATGAGGGAGATACTCTCTACTGTTGTGCATATCTAAAAAGAACAATTAAAATTTTAAAATAAAATTACTTAAAGTTAAAAATAATGAGGAGGAAAAAAACCAACACCTATACTTTTCTTTTTTCCTTTTTTTACTTACTTCAAAACTGCCTGGAGAAAGTGGACCATGACAGGCAGGATGTCTTCCACATGAACGTGGTTTTCACGGAGTCTTGGCAATGAAAGTAAAAAATCCCAGAGATGAGGCTGCTGGTGGAGGCTTTCCAGTTTTGAAATCACCTCCTCTGTTTTATTGAGGTCCATCTGATAGGAAGAAATACCGGAAATTTTCCTTTTTAGTTTTATTTATCAGCTGAACAAGAGAGAAAGTGCAAGAAATGTAGGTAGGACATCTGTAGGAAGAGACTCCTACAGGCTTAATATGTCACCTTGTTGAGCAAAAGTTTGTTTTTTGTTTGTTCCTTTTAGATATATATATACATGACAATAGAGTATATTTTGACATATTATACATACATGGAGCATAACTTCCCATTCTTGTGGTTATACATGATGAGAAATTACACTGTTGTAAATTCATCTATGAACATAGAAAAGTTATGCATGATTCATTCCACTTTTTCCCTATTCCCATCCCCCCTCCTTTCCCTCCAAACCCATTGTCTAATCTAATAAACTTCTATTCCCTCCCTACCAAATTGTTCATTAACATCTGCATATCAGAGAGAACATTTGGCCTTTGGTTTGGGGGGTTTGGCTTATTTCGCTTAGCATGATAGTCTCCAGTTCCATCCATTTACCAGCAAATGCCATAATTTCATCTCTTCTCCGTGATTGAGTAATATTCCATTGTGTATATGTATCACATTTTCTTCATCCGTTTACCTGTTGAAGGACACTTAGGTTGGTTTCATAGTTTGGCTATTGTAAATTGAGCTGCTATAAACATTAATGTGGCTGTGTCACTATAATATGCTGATTTTAAGTCCTTTGGGTATATACCAAGGAGTGGAATAACTGGGTCAAACGGTTGTTCCATTCCAAGTTTTCTGAAGAATCTCCATACTGCTTTCCAGAGTGGTTGTACCTTTTTGCAGTCCCATCAGCAATGTATGAGTGTACCTTTCCCCTACACCCTCCCAACATTTATTGTTACTTATCCTCTTGATAATTATCATTCCGACTTGAGTGAGGTGAACTCTCAGTGTAGTTTTCATTTGCATTTCTCTAATTGCTAATGTTGTGGAACATTTTTTCATATATTTGTTGACCTATCTATCGTACTTCCTCTTCTGTGAAGTGTCTATTCACTCCTTTTGCCCATTTATYGATAGGGTTATTGACTTTTGGTGTTAAGTTTTTTGAGTTCTTTATATATCCTGGAGATTAAGGCTCTATCTGAGRTGCAGCTGGCAAAGATTTTCTCCCATTCTGTAGGTCCTCTCTTCGTGTTCTTGATTGTTTCCTTTGCTATGAAGAAGCCTTTAGTTTGATACCATCCCATTTAGTCCTTCTTGATTTTACTTCTTGTGCTTTAGGTGTCTTGTTGAGGAATTCAGTTCCTAAGCSGACATGATGCAGAGTAGAGCCTACTTTTTCTTCCATAGGCTCAGGGTCTCTGGTCTAATGCCTATGTCCTTGATGCATTTTGAGATGAGTTTGGGGCAGGTGAGAGAGGGGTTTAATCACATTTTGCTGCATGTGGATTTCCAGTTCYCCCAGCACCATCGTTGAAGAGGCTATCTTTTCTCCCACGTATGTTCATGGCGCCTTTGTCTGGTGTGGGATGACTGTGTTCATGTGGGTCTGTYTTGGACGGATGTTAGTCATTCTGGTTGGGTGTTTTTTAAGTATGGACACACAAGTTTGAAATCCACTCAAAAATATAAAATCAGAAAAATCTACAATTTAAAATAACTGCAAACTCTCAAAAGGGAAAAAAGGAGAAAATGAATCAGGGAAGGATGAAAAAGAGAAAGTAAAGGAAGAAGAGAAGGATGGATGGACGGAAGGAGGAAGAAGAAAAACAGCAAAGAAGGGAAGAGGGAGGTGGGAGTTCAYAACCCACTTGAATCAAATGTATGAAACATGATATGTCAACATCTTTGTAATGTTTTGAACAACCAATAATAATAATTAAAAAAAAGAGGGAGGTGRACAAGGTGGCAAGTGGGGGGAGCAGAAGGGCTCTGTCCCAGGTGACCTGAGTYGGGGACGTCTGGAGGTGGGTCTCTCTGGGGTGTCTGCTCCCCTGCCCCAACCTTGCTTCAGAGATACAGAAAGCCAACACTCAACATGTGCTTGTGATGGGATGCTGAGACCAGCAGTTGGAACCTCCTGGACTGTCTACTTTAGCTGAGGACACATGAGGCCCTCAGTGGGTCGTGTGGAAGGACACCCTCAGTTTCCACCCAGGCCTTGCTGCCCCCTGCCGCGMTGCCTTGCCTCCTCCCCCACCCTCCAAAACAACTCCAGTCATGTTTTCTTTCTGGTCACTTCACCGGAGCGTTTCTTGTCAGCGTCACCAACAGTCTCCATGCCGCTACTTCCAGGGGTCACTTCATCCGTTTCCTACTCTGATCAACCCCAGWGTGGAGGCCGATCATTTCCACCTCCCTGAAAAGGGTTTTCCTGGCTTCCAGGACATCTACCTCATCTTCCTCTGCTGGCCTGAAACCCCATCTCAGATGCAAGTCCTCTTCTTCTCCCTCTGTACCTTCTGCCTGCTCAGAATTTAAAAGTCACCTTTGCACCAACATCTTCCAGATTCATGTATCCAACCAGACTCTTCAYCTCTGCTCCAAACTGGTATCACATCACCCACAGCCTCCTTGACAGTGTCACTTGGGTGTCTCATTAACTTGCCCAAATTAAGTCTCCTGATTTCCCCATCTCCTTCTTCTCCCCACATCACCACCAGGAAAAACGGTTCCAATCTTTCCCCATTTCAATCAATGGCCACTCCATATTCCCAATAAGAGTCACTCTTGACTCTTCTGTGATAACTTATATTCATCAGAGGAGTCTAATGGTTCAACCTTCAAATTGTATCAAGAATCCCACAACATGCCACCCCCTCTGTCAGTAACCACATGACTGTGCTAAGCCTCTATCACCTACTGTAGCCATGAATTCATCGATTTCCTAACTGGCCTCCCGATTACACTCTGGTTACCCTCGTTCTATGCTCAATTGAATGGCCAAAAAGATTCTCTGGAAACATAATTTATGTATCATCATTCCTCTGGCTCAGAGTATTTGAATGACCATTTCACTCCAAATGAAACTATATATCACAATCAGAAACTAAATATCATAACCAGAATTCTGCAACAGAAAAGTTACCTAGAATTGTCTCCCTTTAACAAACAGAACTGCTTTCCCGTGACCACTCTTCCTCAGCTCGTTGTAGGCAGGRCCTGAGAGTCTGCACATCACAATTGTGCTACAACTATGATGCCGTTCTCTGCTTTTCACACCTGACATGACAGGCACCATATTAATTATTAAGTGACTCTGCTAAGGAGGCTATCAACATTTACTTACCCTACTTAGGGATATTAAAATTATCCGTCATTAGAAATGAGACTTTATTTTTATTTCTTTTGCATTATACGACAAATTGTCAGAACAACTACTGAGACAAAGGATATCAAGTAACTTTTTCAAAAGTCATTGTGTCAATTTTTTTTTTCACCACAAGGCATACATGATTCCTATCAATGGGCTACAATATCACAAGCACTGAATATCAAAATTTCCTTTAAATGCTAATTTAATCATTGAAATGGTGCCTTATTCTATTTTTAAGTTCTTCGGTTACTTGTAAGTCACCCCCATTGAAAACTTAGGTTGTAAGTGAAGGCCCTGATAATTAGAGTCAAAGGTTGCATGGCAGGCACACAAACCATGGCCTAAGTTTGACTTTGGATGGGCTCTGATCCATCTTACTAAGCAATCTGTGGACCCCCATCACCTGCTGGCCTCAACTCAGCAACTGCTTCTCACTGACCTTATTTTAGAAAATTAAATTAAAATTAAATCTCATCTTTCAATCCATTCTTGGAGTGACTTTGGCTTTCTTAAAATCCAGCTCCTATACAATTGTAACTGAAAATCAAATCCGTTTTAAAAAAGTAGTGTCTAATATACAAATTAAATTTAAAAAACCATTGCCAACCATACATCTTGAGACACTCAATTTTAAACTTTTTGTTAAGATACTTACTGTTAAAAAACTGGATCCATAAGAAGGACCTACAATAGAGCAAATTTTAGAGATTTCAGTTCAGTCATTAACCCAAAAAACATTTGCCACGTTACCACTCCAGTTTTCAAGTCAAAGGAAGTATCAGAGCCCTGGCTCCCAAATGGTGACACCCAGATAGAAGAATAAAGCTGAAGAAAGTCATCAYTGATGATCTCCAAATCCCATAGATATTAAGTAATTTCTTGGGGGAAAAATTTTTTAACTGGTAAACCAAATTTTGWAAAAATTTCAAAAGGTTTCTAATTCCAGTGGGCATTGCGAACATTCAAGACAGGACAAGGACCATGAAGGGAAAACAGAGAAAAACAAAGAAAGGAAAAAGATAAAAGGAGAACAAAACGTGAAATTATGATTTTTCAGATARGTTTTTAATTACATGGACCACGGGAAATGGCTCAAATGCTAGCTAGTTGAAAACAGACTTCATCTCAAAAATTAAAAAATCAGTTCTTTCTTCAAGAACGTGTGAAAAACTTCATTTAGGAAACAAATTCTAGGGGCTAGGATTATAGCTYAGGGGTACAGGGCTTGCCTACCATGTGTGAGGCACTGGGTTCAATCCTCCGTACCACATAAAAAATAAATRAAATAAAAGTATTGTGTCCTTATACAACTAAAAATATTTTTAAAGAAACAAATTCTATAAAAGCAGAATGATCTTATAWTGGAGCCTATTATAAGAAACTCCTTCATTCAGTGTCAGGAGTCTTTTGTGGAGCACTTTGGGTTCATCATGAAATCAGCTTTGGGAGGCCATGGCCCACCTTGCCCTATTCCACCCAGGACAAAGGTGACATTTTCTTTCTTTCTTTTTTTTCTTTTTTCTTAATATTTTATTTTTACCAGTGCTGAGGATCGAACCCAGTGCCTCATGCATGCTAGGCAAGTGCTCATCCTCTGAGCCACAACCCCAGGCCCCAAAGGTGACATTTTCTTAGAAATAATAATGAATGCTACATTCTCTGAAGAGCTCTTTCTTCATTTTTCTGAAAACTCTTGACTCCATTTATTTGTATGCACTCCATGAAGAAGAACATATATATGCATATATATTATAGATGTAATGAGGACAGAGGTGTAGCCCTGGGCTTAATCTCTAGCAACACAGAAAGAAAAATAAACAAAGAATAATTTTGAGTTGGGTACCTAAGGTTGCCAGATTTACCAAATAAAAACACATACAATATTCAATTTGAAGTTCAGACTTTTTAAAATGAATGGTTGTTTAATTATATGTATATATAGCATTTGGGACACAAAAATATTTTAAAAACTATMTGTTAGTCAAAATTAAATTTTGATTCTCTGTCCTATATGGTGTCTGGCAGACATGGGTTCAGTAGGATTAAAGTGGGGGTCSTGGGGCGGGCAGAGTTGACCACTGCGTAACCCCCTTGGATAAAGCTTGCTGCCCCTGATGACTAGGGCGTGTGAAGAYAGGCCTTGGCCTGCCCTCTTAGAGGTGCACACTTCATTTGTGAGAGCTCTCTAAGATCTATACCCATTCTAATTCCATCAGAGGTTTATAAATAAAAGTCGAAGTCTCTTATAATGTGGATATTTTTCACAATGAGAAGATATTATTCTCATTTACAAAATAATCTACCCTAATAATTCAAAAGATTGACAATCAAAGCTAATCACCCAAGGCCAGAACTAAACCCTTAGTGATCCTGACGACAGTGGGGAGGAAAGCAATCAGAGGGATCTGTTTGCATGTTGGGAGAGGGTGCAGACAGATCTTAAAGATAGGATGAGGAAGCGGAAAAAAGGGAAGACAACAGAAGAAACGTGAGAAGGGAGTGGAGAGGGGGTACCTGTGGAGCCTAGGCTGATGGGAGACTGCCCCTGGGGAGGTAAGGTAGCTTCAGCCCGGTGCAATGTGCCTCCCTCCCGCAAGAAGGAAGGATCTTCCCGTCCCTCCACAACTAGCCGCGGGGCCGGCGCTGGCCACCAGAGGGCGCACCTTTCCCCAAGACCCACAGGCAGAGCCCGCTCAGTAAGGATTTCACCCCTCTCTTCCTAAGCAGTGCCCAGGTAGGCAGTATCCCTTTCAAGAGGTTTACTTGCCTGGTGTCTTTGATCTTTCTTTCCAAAGTTTCTGTAAGTTTTTTGCTTTGTCCACCGTTTCACAAATGTCCTCGGCCAGGTCCTGCATTTCTTTTAAAAAGGCCAAGCCATTCACCTTCCTGTGGTCAGCTACAGTTTGAAACCTGGAAAAACTTTTAAATAAAGAGAATATGTGGGGCTGRGGTTGTGGCTCTGCGGAAGAGTGCCTCTCTAGCACCGGCAAGGCCCTGGGTTCAATCCTCAGCACCACATAAAAATAAATTAATTAATTAAAGATATTGTGTTCAACTACAACTAAAAAGTAAGCATTTTTTTTAAGAGAGAGAGAGATGGGTAGAAGGAAACTTCCTCAACTTGACAAAGAACAGCTATTAAAAAAAGAAGAAGAAAAAAGAAAGAAAGAAAAACTTCCAGCTGTCATCACACTTGCTGGTAAGAACCTGAAGGCTTTCCCACAAAGATCAGGAGCAAGGCACTGTTCTCTCACCACTCCTTTCAACACTGCACTAAAGTCCTGGCTAAAGCAATGAGCCAAGAAAAGGAAATAAAAGGTAAACCAATTGAGGAAGAAGAAATAACACTGTCATTGTTCTCAGATGACATAATTGTCAATGTAGAAAATCCAAAAGAACTGAAAAATAAAAAATAAACYGGAACTAAAAAGACACTATAGCAAGGTTGTAAAATGCAATGATAAAACACTAATCGTATTCCTATGTGCAAGGAATGAACAAGTGGAATTGGAAATTCGAAGAGCCCTCTGGCTGCAGGATAAACATTTCAGGAGTACGAGGGTGGAAAATTACCAATTAAAAAAGGTGGTTTTGGAGAAAGAGAGGAGCAGACAGTTTCAAGAACCATTTGGGATGTGGACTGAAGACCTGTCATGAATTGTTTGAATTGTATWAGACTTGCCTTTTGTTTTCTCAATATCTGATGTTTTGACATCTTGAGGACTTCTGTCCCTGAGGGACACCCTTCCCAGGGCTACTTAATTCCTAGAGATTATACACAACACAGACAGTCACTTCCATGTCTGTGCACCTCCCCCCACCTGACTATAACAAGGGGACATTACAGAGAGACATTCAAGGAAGATTTGCAGGATACTGGTAGGAGTAGCCAGTGAGTGGTGGCTTCTCCTCATGGTTGGGGGAAGTACACACTCTGGTTTGCAATCACACTTAGGAAGAGGAGCCAAAGAGCCCTTTTTATGTGAATCTGGGATTCAGAGGGCAAGGGCTTCAGTGCACTGAATATTTAACACTTTTATCTGTTTTTCTGTTAAAGGTGTTTACTGTCTTCTTCGTTTTTGTGCATGATTTATGTTTTAAATAGTAACTTTTAATCATTTTGTAAGAAGTATTTCCCCCAGTGTACTTGTTTTTATTTTAATTTCGTGTAGAGCCATGTTACTCCTGAAAAATAGGAGATGTACAATGTTTTAAAATTTATTTTTAGCAGGGCRCGGTGGCACACATYGGTAATCCCAGYAGCTTGAGAGRCTGAGGCAGGAGGAGCTCAAATTCAAAGCCAGCCTCAGCAATGGTGAAGTGCTAAGCAACTCAGTAAGACCCTGTCTCTAAATAAAATACAAAATAAAGCTGGGATGTGGCTCAGTAGCCAAGTGCCCTGAGTTCAATCCCCAGTACCAAAATATATATATATATATATTTCCAAAAAAGTAAAGATGGTCCAGCCCCAGTAGGGGCGAGGGAGTGGGGAGTGAGGGTCCAGGGCGTCTTGAAGGAGGAGTGGCATCAGCGAAAGAAGAAGAAATTATATGAAGTGCAATTCTAAGAGAATAGTTAAATATATAACAGCAAAAGTTTTTGAAAGGATTTTCTTTCCCCTTTAAAAATAGGGCTCCTGGAAATGTCTTCCTGCTGTGATATTCAGAGTGAGTGACCACCTGGAAACCTGTKAAAATCACTGACTCTGGGGTCTCCTCTCTGCAGTTGCCACTCACTGGGGYCAGCTGCTCTCSCAWGAGTATATAACCCAAACCTCCCTGMAAGTCCATCATAGACCATTCTAACATCATGGGAAAATGCAGACTTTAATTCTGACTAGAAAATGAGAATATTGCTACATTTTACTTAACTTTGCAAATGTCGTGCATAGAAATAAATGTGATGTACTAGTAAACAAGGGAAAAGATTCTTATGACCTTGGAAATCAGGACTGTGCACCTGTTTGCATCTAATCTCGAGGAATTTCGTTTTAATCAGCAAAACTACTGATTTGAAATCAAGTAGCAAATCACATCACAAGTTGCTGAAAACTTGTTAAAGTTACAAGTATCCAATTAAATTAGAATATCCAAAAAAAAGGAAAAAAAAAACACATAAAATTGAGGAGAATAGTTCCTGATCATAGAACCTTCTAGATATTTTCAATTTCATGTCCTTACAAATGAGAGAAGATTCAAAGTGGATTAACAGTCATCAACATGTAAATCTACCATGAAAAAATAACATTGCTTATATCACGAAGAATTAGAGTAAAATCCCTTCCACAAACATTGTCATTTAATCCTCATGACCTATCATAAAGTCTGAGCAAGTTCAACAAATATGTATTGAAGAATAAAATAAACTCAGTGCCTTTGGGGTCACATCCCTTTTAGAGAAGAAGACCTAAATGTGTTTGATAAAAGCAACCAGACTGTGAGCAGCAAACCAAGTCCAGGCCACAGAGATCACATCCTGCCCCAGGAGGCTGCCGTGCCCCATGGAAATCTCACCTTTCAAAGTGTGACCTCCACTTGAGTGGGTCAGAATTACAAAATCACAAGAAGAAACTACTTGCTACTTMTCTGTAGAGGCCTTGTATTAAAGGCTAAGAGTGACCTCTGAAAGCCATAACTGTTGATTCATGCTCCCATTTCTCACCCAAACATGGGGCCTTTCCTGGGAAACCACCCAATTATCAGATTATAGAGATGGATGTAATTCAAGATGAGTTTCCCCTATAATAATGAGCAGACTTTATGTTCTTTTTCTTATTGTTATTTCAAAAGAACCTCAGTGTGTTCTTAAGACTGGATTACAAATTACTACCAGCCTGAGAATTGTTTATAACAGAAAGAAAATACTTAGAAAATCCTGGATTAAATGTTGATGAGAGAAGTTCCTGAGCACCAGAGAAATCCAGCACTGCAACAGGACCCAAGGCGGAGCCATTTCTTCCTAAGTCCAGTTCCTTACTTAGACTTCTGTTAGGTAATGCTTGACTTTGCCAGGTAGGAACGAAGTTGTAAAGGAAAGAAGTGAGAATGAAGAATGCAGGAGAAGGCCACTTGGCAGAAATGACCAAACTTTCTCAGACCTCAGACTAACACCAAGAATCACCCTTCAAAGGTCCAAGGGCCAAACGTCACACCTAGATGCATCCACRCAATTCCACAAGGGACCTGAGGATGCCCACTGTGGGAAGGACCTCGGAAATGATGATAAAGCCAGTCCCTTCATTTGTAGATTTGGAAACTGAGATCCAGTGAGAGACCCCCAGTAGTCAAATTACTGTGCAAACAATTTTACCCTTGGAAAATCATGTTTAAGATAAAATCATGATGTTGTCCACCTAGCAGGGTTGGTGAAAGCATCTCTGTAAATTAGAATGTGGGTGAGTAGCACTTCAACCAGGACCTTGAGGCCGCTGATGCTAAAGAATGTTGACTCTTCACTTGGGCCAGCAAATGTAAAAAATTTTTTCCATTTTGCAGTTGTCTCTTTGGCTATAATTCCAAGACCATTTGCTCTGATTCTCACCTTGAGTTGTAGGAACAACAGGTCTGATTGATAAATACGTTGTTAAGAATCAAAACTGCCCCCAGAAAATTTTCTTATCACCTCCCAGAAGTCCCCACCTGACCAATCCTGAGATGATGATCAACCACACCACAGTTTGGCCAAGACTGCTTAACTATGCACCCTTCTGCTGCCCTTGTGTATTTAATCTGGAAGCTCATGTCAGTACTCCCCAAGACAGGGAAACCCTGATCCTCTTTGTCCAGTATAGTTATGCAGGTTGGCATTCCTTTTCTGCTTTTCATGATTCCTCTTTCCATTTAATTTTTAGGGTTAAGTGACCAGATCGGATTTGATGGGACTCCCCAGAGTTGGTCCTCTGGCCTCCGACTCCAGTAACATTAGTAGTATAATTAATGCAGATATGAGATGCAGTCTCACATAAGAGCTACAAAGACAAATCAGCTATGGAAGCAGTAGGATTTTTCTCTCTTACAACTTTTACTAAATTTGACTTATTAATTTCTGAATAGAAAAGTTATTATTGAATTGGAATTATTTCTAAGACAACCGGATCCACTGGCAGAAATAATTTTTATAAGAATTCTGCTTTGGGATATTTCTGCTCCCTCTCATCAAAACCAGTGAGGAAATCTCTGAGTGGAATTCTTGGCAGAAGGAGGGCTTGCCAGGGAATGTGGAACCCCAACCCTGGTCATCCACCTTTAACTCAGGGCAGGGGTTCACACGGGAAACCTTGGAGGGTGAAGTATTTTTCGAAATCTGTAATCAGCCCAGGGCCAAAAGGAGAAGTGAAGTTGAGAAACGCTCATCTGAGGAAGGAAAAAAAGAAAGCAAGAATTCTTCTTTGGGGCTTTCTTTAGGTCTATTAAAAATAAATAACTAAATAAATAATCAATCAATCAATCACATATGTTAGGTGCAGGCTGAGTAAGCTG